ACCACTTTAATTAGCATGTACTCCAATAATCTTTTCTAAAGTTCGGATAATCTCCTATGCTTTTTCAATGTAGAAAGCAAAATAATGTCTAAAGAGTCTATTGGAGGGCTACAGGCTAACTAAAATGTCTAATTTGAGTGTTTTAAAGAATTTGTTCAATATGCTCTTACACTATGTTTATAATTGTTATAAATTTAACTAAATTCATAATATCATAGGATGAACCGGATGAGAAATGTGTGAGACATACTATATTGATTAGAATAAAATATAACATGAGATAAAATGAGAGAATCATTTACTTGTAAATAGGAATAGGCCTTCAATTTGGTGGTATAATTTAAGTGGTTGGATAAACAATCCCATGTTAATACCTCTCGAAAATCAACTAAACCATGTCAAAACAACTTCACGAAGACATGTGGGTCCAGATGTCGCCTCTAATCTGGACAGAGGAGGGATAATTGTACGTCCAAGCTGACTTCATATGAGGCATGAGGATTTGGGTCTGCTTGGAATTTAGATCCTCTCCTAGTTCAATGAAGGTCTCAATTTCAATATATAAGGTAAGACGACATCAATAAAAAACCAAAATCAGTAGTTTATAACCTTAGTGATGTAGACTTCATACATTCTGGCTACCTATAGGCAGCTCAACCATTTCTCTCCTATGTTTTGCTCGTCTTATATCTAGTCTCTCTCGCATCAAATGACCTGCAAAGTAAAACATTGACAATGATAAGCATCATATAATTTGATTAAAAATTCAGTGTCCTGTTAGTTATCCTAAGTGATTCATCTTACCAAAATCCACCAGGTCAGACAAGTTTTACGATTTGTTTTCTAGTAATTCATTCGCTCACGATTAATTTTCCAAAAAAAACAAGTGCACAAACAAATCATAAATACTAGCCAAAGCAATCTGATTTCCCCAAACATTTCAACTTCACTGTCCTCTGTTTGCTAAGCTTGTCTAGAGGTCACCCAATAACACTGAAGATTGACATTACTATGAGAAGACAATCTTTCCAAGCTGCATATAGGTGAATTTCTGGAGAAACTTGAATCTGACCTTGTAAGCCTATAAGCTTCATTTTTCATTTTTATATCCCAAAAGGTCACTTCCTGTAGAGCATCAGTTCACCCTTTGTAAGGATTGTCAATTGACAATGGGTATGTTAGGATCTTGGATTTGTGGAGGTCAAATAAACGGGGAAGAGATTTATATTTAAAAAAATTAGTACCTATTTCATTCATTTTTCCCTCCCTTTTTTCTATTCCCTTCACAAATCTCTCACTAAATCCAAGATCCAAACACAACCTAAAAAATTCTCTTGAAATTTCTTTTGAACTTTCTTCAATAGGTTCTCTTCAATTTTACTTAGTCTACAAAGAACTGTAACTGTAACATTTAACTCATAGGCAGCAGTTTCATTTGTTCTCAAACAAATACCTGTGGCTGAATCTGCTTTCAAATTTAACACACACACACACACACACAAAAAAAAACTTAAAACTATATTTTACATGGTCAAACACGAAACTTCCTTCTCAGTCCAGGCAACCCAAACACCACCTAAACAATGCTAACAATTCCTCAAATAATGCTGTCAGCACTCCCTATCAACTATCAAGGCAAAAAGTTATGATGTCATCATAATGTCATCTCAGCTATTTTTTATAGGTAAATTCAATAAGAGCCGTGCTAGGGAGCTTGAATTTGGAGCCCTCGAATCCCCCGAATCAACCAAAAATCAAGAGATGAAGAAGATGAAGGAAGAAGGAAGAAGAGAAGGAAGAAGAAGAAGAAAAAGGACTGGAGGGGGCAATATCAACCGGGCGGAGGCGGAGGCGGAGGCAGAGGCAGTGGCAGAGGCAGGGCGGAGACGATCAGCCGACGAGCTGCGATCGGCCGACGAGCTGCCACGAGCAACGAGCTGCGATCTGCGATCGACATCCACCGTTGCTCGCACCGCCATCGCCACACCTACCGTCGCACCCGCCGTCTCTCTCTCTCTGTTTCCCTTCTCTCCTCTCCTCCTCTCTCTTTCTCCCTCTCTCCTCTCCTCTGTTTCTCCGTCTCTCTCCCTCTGGAAAAAGAACCATCTTTTGATTTATCACGGCTTTGATCACGACCATGAGGAGTTTTACTCCTCCCTCTTGTTTTGCTTCAGCCTCTCACAACGAATGCTTTCGAATGAGAGGAACCTGCTGATTTTCTTCTAGTTTCTTCATTCAACAAGCTACTATTGTGACAACTCCATCGGGCGCTGAATTACTGACGGTCACAACCAAAGTCTCCCAACTTTCAGGAAAAAGAACTAAGTAGCATCAAAGCCTGCAACTCATCATCAAAAACAATTTTCATAGAAGCAAGTTGGTTAACAATACTCTCTATTTCATTCAGATGTTTCGGAATAGGGCTGCCCTCCTTATATTTTAAATTAACCAACTTACGAAACATAAAGGCTTTATTTGTGGCTGATTTCCTATCATAAAGGCTCTCTATTTTTTTCCATAAATCATGTGCTGAAGTTTCAGTAGCAACATGATGAAACACACTGTCATCAGTCCATTGACGGATAACACCAACGACTTTTCGATTAAGCCTATTCCATTCATCATTTTTCATACCCTCGGGTTTGCCACTATCACCCTCAATGGGTCGATACAAATCTTTACAAAATAATAGGTCCTCCATTTTAGTTTTCCAAGTTACCCAATTACTTCCATTGAAGCTAGACATACGACCCACATTCCCCTCCATTGATTTACACAAATAAATAGATCCAAAATAAACCGTAAGCTCTGATACCAGTTGTTAGGGAAAATATGTGATTCCCCACAAGTAAATCAATCAATGGGAATAAAAACTAATGCGGAAAAATTAAATCAAAGGCAACACAAGAATTTTTACGTGGTTCCCTCAATGTGAGGTACGTCCATGGGATCGAAATCCGATTCCACTATCAACCAAATAAGTTCCAAACAATTACAAACGAGACACTAATGGTCTCACAAAACCACCCTTAGGTGAATTCCAAATAATTAAAAATAAACAAGAGGAAAGACCTCACCAAATAGATAAACCAAAATCTTCAGAATCAGAGTTGTAGAAGATGCAAAATAACGAACCCATATCAATTCCACCAAAACAGCCGAAACGAAGTGAAGAAAATTCCACACACCAGCCACCGAATAATAGTGCTTTTGAAAGAACAAAACTTGAATCAATTTTGTAGCACATGTACCAAGATTGAATAAACAAATAGCTGCTGCCTCACGTGCTTCGGAAAAAGCTGAAGGACCAACAATATATATATATTAGTTATAATATATATGTTGTGAATCTTGGGTTTTTATAATTAAACCCTAATTGTATCCAAATTGAATTGGGTCTCCATAAATATAATATATAAAAATATATTATACCTAAACCAAGCCAAATTAAAATTCTTTAACAAACCAATTGGGTCCCACACTCCAATAAGGAGGTATACCCAACAATTCTCCCCCTACCGACTTAGGTGGAGATATCAACCATACCCGCCAAAGTTCGACACTTTAAATGTTTGTCCCTCGACAAAGTCTTCGTCAACATATCTGAAATATTATCATCTGTGTGAACCTTTTCGAGTTGTAACAATTTCGAATCTAACACATCACGAATCCAATGGTATCTCACATCAATGTGTTTCGATCTCGAATGAAAAGTAGAATTTTTACTCAAGTGAATAGCACTTTGACTATCACAATAAAGTACATACCTTTAGGTTTTAGATGTATCTGATTTTGACATGGAGCCATGTGATAGGAGGTCATTGGTTGACGGTTCTTTGGTTTTCATGTATAATTTCTTTTTCTTTTTCTGTTTTCTTTCAGCAAATATCAGAAACCTATAGAAAACTATTATATTGTTTGGAGATTTTGAGTAATTGATCAACTAATTGATATCTTTAATGACTGAAATGCTTAAAAAAGCAAAAGAATTGAAGTCCTGCATTACATTTGGCTTCCAAGCTTTGCATCGACTGTTCCTCTAAAACATTTTCTGATGCTTCATGGAAGTTTGTAATATTGTATAACTTTTTGAGTTACTTATTTGCTAGTATTTATTTTGATGACACATAAATTCATTCTAATGGAATGAGATATCAGTATGAGCACTTTGTGTTTATAGATTTAGTAGATGGTGTTGTTGCTAACAACTGAATGATGACTATGATGATGAGTCAAGCCTGTAGGGACCATTGGCTGATTGATTGTTTTTACCATTTGTAGCTGCTTCGAGAGTTTTTAGCTATTAATTAATTTTGTAGAGGACTCATCTTATGCATTATATTAAATTTACACCCATTGTATTTTTATGTAATCCTTCATGAGACAGGCTTTGGTTACAAATTTGCAATTGCAGGGCATGCATCAGATCTTAAATTTGCAATTGAAGTTTATAGTCTCCTTATGTAAAAATTCTATAGAATACTGACAGAAAAATTATTTAGTTATTAATGCTTGGAAAATTTCAAATTACAATCAAGACTAATGAGTTTTCATCATGTCACCACGAAATTTAAAATTACAAGTTGCTATGATTGACTATGTAGTTGCCACAAGTGCTCGATGAGGTTCGATTACAGTTGAGAATGAGTTTCTCTATCTCTAATGCGATGATGACGTTGAATGAATTCCATAAGTTCAGTTGTATAGTCATGTGAAACAGATACATGGGGATTTTCATCGATTTGTTCATAGTCGTAGTCTTCTGCTTCATTAACATCTCGCTCATCCTCAACAATCATGTTATGCATTATTATGCATGCCTTCATAGTGTTCTTAAGTGTTTTACGTTCCCAAGAACGTGCAGGTCCACGTACAATTGCAAATCATGCTTGAAGAACTCCAAAAGCACGTTCTACATCTTTCCTTGCCGACTCTTGAGCTGCAGCAAAATGCTTTCTCTTATTTCCTTGTGGAGATGGAATTGTTTTGACAAATGTTGACTACTGTGGGTATATACCATCTTCTAGATAGTATCCCATTGTATAATCATTACCATTGATTGAGTAATTGACAGAAGGAGTACGCCCTTTAGCAAGCTTGGTAAATACAGAAGATCGTTCTAACACGTTGATGTCATTATGAGACCCCGGGAACCCAAAAAATGTATGCCATATCCAAAGGTCATATGACGCTACTGCTTCTAAAATAATTGTAGGTTCATGAATATGACCAGAATACATACCTTTCCATGCAGTTGGACAATTCTTCCATTTCCAATGCATACAATCAATGCTCCCCAACATCCTAGGGAATCCACGACTTTGGCTAATTGTTAGCAATCTAGCAATGTCATTTTCGTTTGGTGATCTCAAATACTCATCAGAAAAAATTGTAACCGCTGCTTTAACAAATTTTTTTAAACTTTTCATTGCAGTACTTTCTCCAATCCTTACATATTCATCCATAAAATCAGCAGCTACTCCATAAGCGAGCATTCTAAGTGTAGCAGTCATCTTTTGATAGGAGGACAAACCAAGCACTCGAGCACCATTTCTTTTTTGAACAAAATACGGTTCATGAGCTTTTAGTGTAGAATGAATACGGAGAAAAAGAGAACGATTCATTCGAAACCTTCTTCGAAATACATTGGGAGGATATATTGGTGATTCAGCAAAATAGTCGAGAAAAAGCCTTTGGTGGCCTTCTAAAGTATTACGCCTAATGAATAGACGACGTTGTATAGAACCACGACGTGATCTTGATTCTTCCTCCATTTTGACTACTGTAACTATCTCTAACTCATCATCAGAGTCCGACTCATTAAGAATCAGATTGTGTACAAAATTGTGACGCATAGTGAGAAAATAAACACTTAATGTTAAAGAAAACTGGATGAGGTGGATGAAAATTAAAGAGGAATGATCTTATTTATATTGAAAAAATATGACCGTTAGAAAAGTATCTATTTCAAAAATATCACTGTTGCAAAAATATTCATTTGAAAATATGGCCATTGCAAAAGTACCTATTTGAAAATATTACCGTTATTACAAAAGTTTCTATTTAAAAAATATGGCCGTTAAGTGTCCATTTGAAAAATATAATTTTTCTGAAAAAATAAATAAGGAATATTTAAATTGAATGGAGAAAGAAATGGAGAGTTTGTTGGAGCATGACAAGAAAAATAAGGTTAGCTAAAATAGAAAAGTAGGTTTTTAGCTATAATTTGACTAAACATTTAGCTACTTTGATAAAGATGCTCTAATAAAAGAGAGTCTAATAATTACATAACACTAAGGCCATGTTTGTTTGGGTGGACATGAGCTTGGGATTGGACTAATAGTCCAATAAAATTATTAATCCGATGTTTGGTTAAACAATTGAAGTACGGATTAATTATTTTAAACTTGACTAGAAGCATGAGCTGCCAGGGCAAGTAATGCAGACTGGAAAACACATACATTTAACAAATTAGTTAATGAGAGTTCACATATATAATATTATGAGCAACACATAACTAAACAAACAATGGCCCTACCTTCTTCGGAAAGCTCAAAAGATCCGCATATCGAGTCAGTGCCGTTCTTATGGTACATGCAGGGAAAGGAGGCAGCAATGAGCTACCACCAAGTGGAGTGCCATCCTCTTTATCGGTGTGAATGGAGAAATTTGTATCTGGTGATAAATCCATTAACCTTTCAGCTTCCTCCACAATGTCAATCACATTCTCACAGTACACGCCGACATGGTCCCCAGTTTCATATCTGTGGACAAAGGAAGTGAAGAAAGATAAATGAACAAAGTTGATTCATCATTAAATGCATGCCTTTTCTAATCCAATTTGTTTTAAATTTAAAGAGCAGGCATTTTCCATTTAAAGCTAAAGCAAAATCCAGTTGACAATTTGCTTACCAAAAATAAATAATAGTAGTAAGTCGACAGAATTTGTCATCACCTTATTCCAAATATACATCCATAATTAAGTGAATTAGAATTGCAACTTACACAAGTCCAGTTCCAGCAATGTCAAATTCTAGATGGGTGCAAGATCGATCAGAGGCAGCAGTATGAAGCTCCTTTTTCACAGCCACATTAGACCTTAATTCCAAGATAAAATATTTGTTAGGTTACAGAAGCAAAAGCATATAATTAACTGGCAACAGAAAAATTCAGGATTTAAAACATTCTTTTGGTACCTGCATGGATGTTGTGCATCATGAACAGCATGACCATTTGACATACTCATGCTCTTGTCCAATATTGATGCATCTGTGCTGTCATGATATACCACACGATATTCCAACACAGCAGCAGTGTAAGGAGTTGCAACAGTTGAACTGTCATCATCCTTAAGCAACTGATCTAACTCGGGCCAAAGTAACTCCCGCCTACATTAGCAACAGTAACTAAGCTTTTATTTCTACATATCTTAAAGGAGTTGCAAAAATATATATGCTGAGTTCCAGGTAATGATTCATGTTCTTAATACCATGCAGCAAAGTCATCTTCCATGCATTGATCATCATCTCCAAGACCCACTGGAACAAGACGCTTTCCACCTGTAAATGATAAACATAATCATGAGCAAAACAGAAATAAACACTAATTCAAGGTAACAAGAGCACGATTGGAAGAGACAATGACACTTTACCCATCACCTAAAGGAATATAATTTCTCCATTAATATTTCAATAAGTCATCTTTTCACTCTTTGTTTATTTGCAAATGTAAAGCCCACTTCAATAGAGTTATATGGCATGGTACTCAATTCTCTTGGCAATCACAACAATGGGATGGATGTAAATTGGAGTATGTCCTAGAGTGAAGTCACTTACACAAACCTCCACACAACCAAACAAGACCTACATTTTTTTGACTAGCAACAAATTGTTTATTTCTGTACTATCTTAGCTATGCAAATAGTACAGTAAACATGTATATTTGCCTATGATAACAGAAATTACAAGAAACTGGGACTAAAATATTATTACAACGCATGTTTCAAACAGAAGGCAATAGCATGCATGGTTAGGACTAAATACAATGGTAACATTCAACAGTTTATAGAGATGTAAGACACCACAATTTATCAAAAAAATACAATGGTAACATAATATATATGTGAAATTGACCAAAACATGAAATGAAATGAAATCCAGACCTTGTTGAAATGCTCATATTGCCTGTTGCCAAGGCCAAACACTCCGTACGAAAGATTAAGCCATTTCTCTCTCCTTTACCCTATAGGCAGTCATATAACACGCCATGAAACCCAAATCTCACTTGGTAAAAGAACCATAGTAACAATAAAAATTAGAAATTAATCAAAATTTACCTTTGAAAACCATTTATAGAACCTTGCAGAATTGTCAGTTGGCTCACCATCTCCATATCTATACCACAACAAACAAATAAATTAAATACAATGTTATATACCAACAATACACAAGTATGTATATATGTATGTATGTATGTGATGTGAAGTAAAAACTCACATAGCTAAAAAGAAAAATGCCTAAATAATATAATGAACTGGAGAAAGAATTAGATTGGAAGACTTATTGAAATCTTCCAATAACAAGATAGCTTAGCTTAAGTTCATCTTCCTAAATAATTATCCAAAAATCAGATTGGAAGAGTTATTGAAATCTTACATTTTGGGATGATGAAGCCACTAAATAATAAGACAAACAATACAAACAAACTACCAGCTGTTTGTAGACACCCCATTTTTGACCGTCCTCAAGACTTGGACGTCACCGCTTGGAACACTCGGTGATTATCCATGTTTGTGTTCGTTTGGAGTTCCCGGAGGTCTCGGCTCACGTGCCCTGCCTCAGGATCTCCGAACTCAACCGTTTAGTGTCTGGTTTCACACCAAACACTTGTGTTTTGCCTTTGAGAGGCAGGGTAGGGCTTGTAGACCATTCCCACCCACCACCGGCAGTGGCTATAGGCCACCGGCTGGTTTTTGCTTCCACCGGCAATGTATATTGCCGGCCGGCACTATTTGTTGCCGGTCAGCACTTTTTAGTGCCGGCCGGCACTCTTTTTGGCCAAGATGGCATTTTTGGCCAGCCGATTACTGTGCATCTGCTTTTGCAGATATTTTAAGACAACTGTCTTGCTTTTGCTCCCCTCCATACACGTGTATGGAGGGATCTCCCTCTTATGAAGCTTGTCTTGTAAGCTTTACAAGACAAGAAGTGCCATATAGAGAGAGATGGGTCTCTTGGCTTAGGGGGAGACATTTTAAGATATTTTGAGAGCTTAGACAGCCATTGTTAGGGTTTGAGATCTAGGGTTAGGGTTTGTTACACATTATCTCTCTCTTTTTCCCTCTTGTGTGTGTTTTAGTGTGTTTAGTCCATACTATTGCACACAAACACATAGTGTTTCACCTTCCTAGGATTATCGATCCTAACAACGACTTCTCAAATCAAGGAAATTGCAAAATTTGTTACATGCCCAAGCTATTGGGATAAACATACAAACATATATACACATAGGCAACATAACACCTTTATTCCCCATTTTTGCACCTTATTTCTACCTATCTTAAATTCGTTTTTGAGCTTGGTGTATAAGACAAAAAATTTCTGTTTTTAGACCCTCTTGATTGTTTATTAAGAGTGTTTTTTGGTTTGGGGGTGGTTGACCCCTCTTAGGCCTTGAAAGGCCTCATTTTGAGCCATTTTGTGATAGCTCCGTTATTTTGGTGTTGGGGTCTCTTCACCACTGAAATCTTGAGGGATTTCAGTGGTGAAGATGATGCCTTGAAGTCCCAAGAAGGAGAGGGCCACCCCCTCTCCTTGTTGTCCTTGAAAAGGGCATGTTTCGGCCTCTTAAGGAAGCCTATGCTTGAACTGTTATTTGTCCAATAATCTTGAATATTCTTGCAAATCTAGTGTGCTATTTAATTTAACCGAGCACATAACCTTTGATAGAGCTTAAAAAGTTCTGTTTTTAGGCCCTTTTTATTGTTTATTAAGAGTGTTTTGCTGTGTTGAGGGTGGTTGACCCCTCTTAGGCCCTGAAAGGCCTCATTTTGAGCCATTTTGTGCTAGCTCCGGGATTTTGGTGTTGGGGTCTCTTCACCACTGAAATCTTGAGGGATTTCAGTGGTGAAGGTGATGCCTTGAAGTCCCAAGAAGGAGAGGGTCACCCCCTCTCCTTGTTGTCCTTGAAAAGGGCATGTTTTGGCCTCTTGAGAGAGTATTATGCTTGAGTGTGTGTTGAGCATGTTTAGGCTGTTTTTCATGCTTATATATCCATAATATAACATGATTTTAAATTGGTTTTGGTACTCCATGCATGCTTAGCATAGTTGCCTTGTAATGCTTTATTTATGCCTTAATATGCTTTAGGTTGTTAGCCTTTGTTGGAGCATGTTTTAGGCTTAGTCTTGTGAAGATTATGTGCTTATTTTGCCATGTTTTAGGTCTGTCCATAAGTGTTTGGGTCAATTTTGGCATGCATCATATAGCCCCTTTGCATTGTGGCTTGTTGGCCTTAAGTATGTGCATGTATAGCATGGCACCTTTGCATTAATTTGGTGATTTGGGACCATCTTACATGTTATTTCAGTCCCATTTTTATGCTTGTGTGACTGCCTTGCATGCCTCTTTAATGCTTTAAAAGCATGTGTTGCATGCTCCATGTTTTGACCATTATGCATGCCTTTGTTTTTTGAGTCATTTAGATGCCATCTAAGTGGTCCTTAGGCCTTGTATTAATGTCCTAAAACTCTGTTTTTGGTCCATGAGTTCATGCCATGTTTGGTCTTGATAAGTGTAGTTCAATGCTCCTTTGGTTTGTTTTGAGCACTTAGGCCATTTGTTGCATGCTTGGCTTGATTCATTGCTTGGTTTGGCACCATTTTATAGCATGATTTTAGAGCTCATGTTGCATGATAATTGTCCATGAAATCCCTTGTCAAGTGTGCTTGAATGTTGTTTGCTTAATGCTTGAGGTTTGGACCATAACATGTGTATGTATGCATGTGTGTTTAGCCTCCATGTTTGGGCATTTTGGCCACTGTTTTGGGTCTATTTAGAGCTGCCTAATTCATGTATAAGTCCATCTTTGCATCCATTTGCATGCCCCTATGTTTGCTTGCATGCTTGCATAAGTTAGTTACCTTTCCATGCCATGTTGCATCCTTAGCTTGTATGCTTAGGTTGCATTGCATCTTGCATGCATGCCTTGTTCCTTGACTTAGTGATAGGAATTGGGCCTTGTTTGGTTTGATTTGGTTTGCATGCATTTGAAATCAAAGTTGTATACTTGGTTCTTTGGGCCATCATGTATGGAAATGCGTGATTGGTGGTCCGAGAATTGAGGCACATGCCCCTTTGAGTCATTATCATGATAAGGGACATGGTTGGTGCATATATGCCTTGAATTGTGCTGCCATGCTTTGCCTTGCCCTCTGTTGCTGTCATTTGCAGATTATGCAGAAATACTCTGCCGACCGGCAGTGTAAGGTGCCGACCGGCAACAATTTCTCTGCCGACAGCTTCATTTTGTGCCGATGGCCACACACCACTGCCGGTGGTAATTCCACTCAGCCGGTGGCACTCCCCAGTGCCCAAGGACGCAGTCTTGAGGTTTTGACAGCCTCTAGAGGAGTGAAGGAAGGAAAACAGAGGCAGCCTATGCATGGCGGCGCGTTTCCCGAGGCGGTTTATCTGTTTTCTTAGCTTAAATTAATTTGCTTAGCTGATTAAGCAATTTGTAATATTTAATTAGCTTGCGTAGTTAATTAATTTGTAATATTTATTTGGTCCCTCCGAACGAGGGCAAATCTGGACGTATCCCAGATCACGCTAATTGCATTTGTACTTCAAATTCTAAACTGAATATGTGATAGTTGTGCATTCTCACATGTCATGTTTAGGATAGCCGAGCCTATTCTAGCAACACTTTGTATGCGATGCATTAGGCACTTAACATGGACTTGGATCATGCATGTTTGCTAACGAGTTCTTTGTTTTGGCACGGAGTACGATGTAAGTATTTCCGCTTTAGCATATCGCATGAGTGTGAATGTTGCCATAACAGCATGCTTAACATGTGGCTAGATGCTTATGTGTTATAAACTGCTTGAATGCCTGTGGGTGAAGGTTGGATTGTTTGAGTTGGAAGAACTCATTGAAATCTGTGTTTTAGTCTACTTGCGAGTAGCAAATTCCAAAGCATCTTCAAAACGAATGGATATGCAATGTTTCTTTCCAAATTAGGCAATCTAGTCTATACTTGTTAGCTGCGCGCATAACATAGTAATTCTGGGCTAATAAATGGAATAAGAACACGTAAAGTTTTCAAAATCAGATATCACGGTTAGTAGAGGCCGGTCTTTGGACCGGGCGAAATGGGGGCTCATAGCTGACCTTCCCCGATCGTGCACAAGCTCCCGAGCCGAGACAACTCCGGTGATGACGGACATGTGGCCTTCAGCACCGAGTCAGGGTTTCCTAAGTTCCCCAATTTTAAAATATTTAGGTGGCGACTCTGTATCTGGCAAAGCAGTCCATGTTTGGCACTACTTTTTCAAAAATCTGTTTCTTAAAACGATTTGCCAGATTTGGACTCTTTGGTTCAGATTAAGAACCGTGACACAAATCGCGAGTCCGAACTGTAGCGAGGTCCCCTC